TAGGTAATATGGTCCAGGCTAGAGCTCTGCCAGTTTACAGTACCTGCCTACGGAACCTGCATTCAGTATTAGAGTAGTTACAAGCTGTGCTGTCAGTGTAAAATATTCTGGGGTTTAATTAGCATCTTTTAAAATTGGAACTTGTTTGTATTGAGCATTAGGTCACTTCCATGATGTTCACCATATAAAGTCAACAAATCCAAACAGGTAGCACAGCACTGTTTGTAATATCACTGCAGCTGCCTCTGTTTTAAATACTGGCCTATGTGAGAGGATTTATATCAGTTACGATGATTAAATGTTATCATGCTTTTGCAGCAGAAGCTACTGATACAGGAGTGCTTTGGTGGTCAGTAAAGAGTAAGATTTCTTAAACCAGTTGTTTCTTCTACTTATGGGGAAAGAAAATTTGCTTAGCTTTGTTGAATCTCTTTGTGTGGTTGCACAGGCCTGAAATGCCCTTCTGGGGAGGAAAGTGTTACACAACGTTAAGACTAAGGCGATACAGTGTTTGTGCTGTGGGTGGGAAAAGGAGTAAGTGCTTGTGTTTGTCAGCTGTGCATATCTAGCTGTGGTAGAAGCATGTAATAAAATCATATTAAACCTGTTTCACATCAGCAGGACTTTTAAAATAATCAAGTTGGTCTACACAATACACAAACATCCTAAAAGGGACTTAGGGGTGCAAAGCTCGCTTTACTAGAACGGTGCACTGTTACTGGTCACTGTGGTACCCAAAAGCAGATTTTCTAGTACATCACCAGGCAAACATGGTTACAGCTTCTTCCAGACCTGCATTCACACTGTCCGTGTGTTGAAAGTATTTGCCTCATCATAACCGAGAAGTACAGGGAGGCCAAATAGGGGCACCCAAGGTGTGCCCTGTAAGCCCTTTACTTTCAGGAGCAAGGGCGTTGTCCTTGTTACTCTCTCATGTATCTAGGTAGACTGGTGAAAGTAAAGTATGTGAGGAGATACTTTTAATCAGCTGTGAGAGTCTCTGTTTCTTAGCTTCTGCTTGGACAAATTTTTAGTGATGCACTTGGAATTTTGCCTCAGCAAGAGCTGATGGACTGTAGTACTCAGGGATTTCTCAATTTTTTTTTTTTTGTTGGGTTTTTTTTTTTTTTCATAACACATACCATGGCTGAAGAGGGAGGGAGTCTCAAGGGCTCCATTTGCTAGTGTGAAGCCTGCCTCCTTTCTCATTCAGGGTCACAACTTCCCTCCAGCATTTGCAGAAACTACTCACAAGGGAAAGTGATACTAGGACGAGACTGTATTGTTTTTAGCTTTCAGTCATCTCCTCCTGTCTTCTTTTTTCTCTCTACTGAAAATATGAAAAGTGCTAGCAAACACGGACCTTTTCCTGAGCTCAGCAAGCCTTGAGAGGCCTGGATCTGGCCCCAAGTACCTCCCCATGTTTTGCAGACAGCCATCACAGGCTCTGGCAGTTGACTTCTGCCGTGCTCCAGAGGTTGGGAAACTCCGTAGCAGACCAGAAGAGATTTTACAGTGTGTGTTTACTGGAGAATGTTTTAAAGGAAGTACCAAAACTTCTCTAAGTGCTTGAGTGCATGTGCTCCCATCGGTGTCAATGGCACTGGCTCTGATTACAGGCAAGGTAAGCGACAGGAGGTTTGAATCTGGTTCAGGAAGCCTTTGGTTTTCCAAGAGATTCAGCTAGGCTTGAAGTTTCAGCTCACGTCCCATCTTTTTTTGTGTCTAGATATGACAGAAGTATGTAATAAAAGGATATTCATCCTGTTCATACCAGCAGGACGTGTAAAAATGGTTAGGCTGGGCTGCACAATGTGCAAACATGACATTATAAACTGAAAATATTGAACTAATTCAGACTGAGCTTTCACTTCAAGGGCATAAAAGAGCACCAAAGTTATTAAGGGAAAATCACATTTATTCCTTTTCATACCAAGGACTTCAAGTCCATTGGATGTCAAGTGACAAGATGGATGTTGTCTTTCTGTCAACTAACAATGTTTTAAGTGGCAGTTGAGAATATAGGGGGGTTTTTTACCTCCTGATGACTAAATTCAAGGTTTACAACAGTGACAAAACTCCCAACTTTAATTATATGGTAGCCACTAAAATCAGTCAGGATTTCTTTCACGAGAAAGGTCAAGCAGGAGGAGTACGGCGCGTGGGGTTCCCCGGCCCAGGCCTGCAGACACCGTGAGCCCCAGCGGTGTGGGGGGCGTTGGTGACCACGTGCCCTCCTTCGCCCTGCCCTGCGTCAACTGCTCTCAGCCGTGGCCTCGCTCCCGGGGACGGTACGGGATTGCGTTAGAAAATGGTGAGCCCAAATTGCAACAGATAGATTTTTTTTTTTATTTTCAGAAAAATCAGACTTCATGTCGGGACACTTTTCTCCCTTCGTCCACTACCATTTCTTCCAACTCTTTGAAAAGCCAATGTTAAAGTAGAATCATTTCACCAGCCTTCCTAATATCCTTCCCTGGGTACATCCGCGCACAGTCGCTCCTTTCTTTGAGAGAGGACATCTACCTGCTCTTGACCCCCCCCGGGCATGTGCCCAGCTGTGCCTGAGGACCTGTGTCGTGGGTGAGAAGGTGCAGCATACACACGGGGAGAGCAGCAGAGCAGTGCTGCCAGACCACTGGAGGATGAGGAGCTCGGGTTTGGGGTGGCAGAGCTGTGCAGGAGGCGTTTGGCTCGGTCCAGTGAAGTCTTTAACGGCGCGTCCCAGGTCTCAGCCCAACGATGAGCACCTCGCTCCCCCAGCCTTTCTGCTGTGCATTCCCCTTCTCGGCTGCCTGGAGAGGGAGAACATCAGAAAAGCTTCAAAAAAGTGTTGTGGTGCGTTTCAGATTAGTAAGGTTAAGTGCTTAGACATTATCAAAATGCCTAGCATTTTGTTGTAGTGTTGCATCGCAGAGAGTTATGCTGGGATAAACTAGAGAGTTTGGGGGTTTTTTACTTGGCAGGGCTGGGTTTTTGGCCCTGTGGTTGTGTGACAGAGGAGTGAGCACTTGACAGGGTAGTGTGGGGTTTTGTCCTTTCACTTATGGGTCTGGGTGTGTTATTACTCTCTTTGTATAATGCGAAGCTTTGACAGTGCAGGTTTGGCTGGATTACTTTATTACTAATCAGGATTCGCAACAATACTCTAATATAACTGTCTCCATACAATTTCAGTAATGTCGATATGGCCCCAAATGAATCATTTAATAGCAACATATTTTTAAGTTTTGAACAGGCTGGTATTTGCAGGACCCCATAAGATCTACCCCAGTCTGTTCAAAGCACAGACTGTTAAACTATTCATACTGACTTCGCAGCAGATCTAAAAGCCTCAGAGAAATGTTTAACAACTGGAAAAAAGCACGTGTTTTGCAAATGTGTGCATATCTAGGTCAGTTGGCCCAGTTACCATTCTGGACAAAATCATGAAAAGACCATAAGTAGTAAGCATTAAAGGATAATGTGTAATAAATGTCAGGCAGTGATGTAGTATGAGAAGTAAATCTTGACAAAGGAAATGCTGTTTCTCAGTGGGATCACAACTTCGACTGTTGAAGGTTACTGAATTCTTGTCATAAAGTACTCATAGTCGCATGTAATATTCTCATTTCAACGTGTGTTTATCCAGAAATCAGTGGTGACTTCAATAAATATATTGAAACCTGCTTAGCTGAGAAGGCCAAAAGTGCAATTACAACTAATTACCTACGATCCAATAGGGATCTATCTTCTGTAATTTGCTCATAGTCCTGCTCTACACAGTACTTTTTTCCCCATTCAAATAGTATGTAAGAAATAAAAAGATTACGACAAAAAGTCAAGTCCAACAGAGTCCTTTTTTTTTTTTTTATAATAGTGTCTAAATTCAACCTGTGTATTTATGTGTCTTGACCTGCCATCTGTGCTTGTTGTTTAATCCCTGCTAGCTGGGCTGCAGTGTCCTCTTGCCCGGGTTTTGCACTCTCTGGGGCTAAAGAGCGGCTTGTTTTCCAAGTTAAGCTTGAATACACAATATTTAATATACTGAGAAATGAGTCACAGCTGAGTGGGACTTCAGTTACTGTTCCCTGGCAGAAATTGGAACTTCACTGCATAAATGCTCATTTTCTTTTTTGCCTGAAAGCTGAACAGTAAGAGTGGTGAGGAGCTGCGGCTTCCCGGGAGCCCAGCAGCACATAATTTGACTCCAGAGTCGTTGGGAGGTAGTAATAGTAGCACCACCTCCCTGCTGAACTTGGAGCCTGACTCCTGATGGCATCTCCTCTGCTCTGTTCAGAGGAACAGCGGTGAAAACTCCTGCTGGTGGGTTCCTGCTGATGGCCCAGACACCAACTCGAAGACGTTTTTGCTTCCCACTTCTCATCATGGCCAGAAGGCAGCCTGGGTCCTCATGGGCACAACAACAGCCCATCAACAAACTTGCTGAACCAAAGACTGGCATTAATACCTAAACTGTGGAGCACAAAGGGCCATCTATTGATTTATTTTACTTTTTTTTTTTTTTTTTTTCAGATCACCCTCAATGCTTATTGTTATTAGAATTCACAGTTGTTTTTTGCACAGGGTATTAGTAAGCTCTCAGAAGTCTTTCTCAAATGGATGCAATAAATTTTCTGGAACAAGATCTTCTACACTAGTAATAAGACGATACAAAGACAGAAGTTATTTTCAGAGATGACAGCCACATCCCCATCCTTATGCACTACTTTTGTCTCCTATTTAATGAGCAGTTTCTTTTTGGGTGAGGAACTGCTATTTTAAAATTACAGTAGTATTTTTGTATCGTTCTATTTTCGTAAGGAAAAACATCCAGGAAGGGATGACTTAGGCCACTAGTGGTTGCATTATTATCTGGATAAAAACATTGTTTTGTTTAATGGTCATCTAATTGATTCTTAGTTGTAAAACTACGAATTTGTAAAAAAGACAGTTACTAAGCAATTTGACTGCTCAGGTGTTAGTGGAGACTACACTCACCTTTATTTTTCTTCCAGCAGATTTTTAAGAGCATCACCAATGAAGATTCAATCCAGGGACAAGGAAGTCGGAGACTGATAAGTTTTTCATTGTCAGGTAAGACTGCCGATGTGGAAGTTTTAAGATCAGAGAGTGGGAAACTGGAGTTCCTAAAACCTTTCATGTTCACGTGTATATATATGTACATATGCACATATTTATGCATGGTTTTTTGCCTGTTGCTCTAGAAGTGATGCTGAGACAAAGAATTAATATCTATGGTTATTGCCACACTCTTCCTTCAACGAGAGTTATGTGCTGAAGTGTCTTGTTCAAGTAGAGTTTTGGGGCCGTGTTTGGTTTTCCTGTTATGATTAAATGTGGTGCTACGTATGTAGGTCAGGGAAAGCAAGATCAAAGGCATGCTCTTTGCTTCCAGAGCAAAATATGATTTGTGGTAGTCCTCTGTTTCTTGGAGAGCACATTCCACAGTCTTGGTCTGGACCTGAGGCAGATCCGTGCGCTGTGGTGCAGAAGCTTGTCTGTATTGCTCCGCAGTGACTCTTGGACTTCTTGAGCCAGAAGACTGCTCTCACTCTGAATTTTCTGAAGAATGTTCAGCCTCATTACTTGGCACATCACTGGAGGTTTTAAAGGCATGGTTCCATGAAGCAGCTACGGACCATTTGATCTGGCTTTGCTAAAATCAATCTGTAAATCACTTCTGTAGAAAAAATGAGTTTGTCAAAAGAGAGTAGTTGTGAGCAAGGTTCTCAATTTGGAGCTTTACACTTGCTTCTTGGTTTCCATACTTTTTAGCTTCTAGAAGACAAAGAGAAGGATGCTGAACTTGACTTGGAAATTCTTTGAGGAAGTAGTACAAAGAAAAAAAGAGTTACCCTCGTTCAAAATTTTTACAAGCCTACGCCTTTGTGTAGGACAAGCCTTTGTGTAAAGTCCTACACTCAGACAAGCATTGCATTACATGATTGGTTTGGCCTATAGTTTATTTCAAGCTTGCCTCTAAGTTGTGTTAAAGTGAACTAGGACTTCCATATCTCTTTAATTTTAAACATGCAAGTCTGCTTTTACAAATTAGGTGGCCATTGTGGCTCTTGAGAGGTTATGTACACTGTAGGGCAGGTTAGACTGACCTGATGGGGCTCTTCTAACACATCACTTATTTTTGCCAGGTTAGACACTGAGCACCCACCCAGTCACATCAATTTTATAAAAGCACAGTTCAACAGAAATAGAGTTAGTATTTTTTTCTTGTTCTTAAATAATCTTTCACAGAAAATGTTGCCCAGAATTAGTAACATTTTTTCATTCTCTCAAGATTCTTTGGCCTAGTAGACCAAGAGATGTCAAGAGTAATAATTTGTGAGACTGCTAAATAATGTTGTCTCAGTGGGCCCTTTTATAAGCTAAACCATCTAATTTACAGCTTGATTCAAAATACGGAAAAACCATACTTTGTAATACGTTTGAGATATCTTATTCTAGTGGTTCTCAAGCAATTAATTTACATTTATATCACATCCATATTAACAGCATCATCACAGCCAGGTATTTGAAAGGCTTTGAGCTCACAGGTATTTTATCAGAAGTCTTTGGTATCGAAATAGTTCAATTTCAGTCTTTCTGAAATTAACAGATTGATACATCACAAGGACGTACTTATTATCTTCTTACTTAGTCAACAACAACCAAAAAATGTTGTCTCTCTCAAAGTACAATTATTGCTATTCCTATATCTCTTATGCTAGCTAATAAAATGCAAATCAAGCCAGGCTTTCCAGAAGCATCAGAAAAAAAATAGGATTCTTTTCCATTTGCACTATTATCACAGCAATAACTTCTCTATTGTCACAAGTCCTTTCAGGTCATATATAGTTCTCCTTTCCAATATCTGCATCTGTATCTGTGTCACCTTCAGTGTCATTACTTAAAAGTTAGGTTTGCAAATTCTGGTTGATTTAGTTGCAATTAAAAAAAAAAAAAAAAGGTGTAAGACCATTAGTCCGACTGAGGACCATTGCGTTAGGTGCTGCACCAACACAGAGCCATAGTGCTCTAAGCAGTTTATCTAAAGAATGCAAGGAGAGCTATGCCTTCTACCGTATCAATTTTTAAAAAGAAAAATTTATTAGAATGGGTGAGAAAAATCTCAAAGTAAGCCAAATCCCAAGAAATGCTGAACAACATCAAGTCCGTTTTAGCTGACTTGTATAGCTAGCTCTACTGCTTAGGAGCTCCAGTGAGACACTGTTAAAATGAACTGTGCAAAACCAGTTTCTTTCTAAAAGTCAGTGACAGAGTGCTTTATTCTTTTTGTAGCTTTATTAAATATTTACTTGGGCAAAATCCATCTGGGTTTTGCCTGAGAAATGATTTCTGGATTGAATAAAAATGTCAAACAAAAAAAAAGTATAAACTGATGCTTCAAGGCAAAAGGAGATTGCTAGCTTCTTGAGAACAGAAATAGCTGAGAATTTGCATTACATCAGTAGGAGTTTTGTTTTCTTCATGTTTGCTTCTTTGGAGACTGGAAGTTGGTCCTGTGAAAGGTTAGTTCAGATTAACAGGTTCATTAGCAACACTGATCTCAAAGAAGATAATTTCCCATGATTAAGCTGCTTAATCATTTATATGATGACTGTATTATTACAGCTTTCATTATTTAAAATACCCAGAGAAATATTCTAAGCCTAATTTAGCTAGATTAAATACAGTCTTTAAGGAAAGCTATGCAGTCACTTTGCATTTACTTTCCGACATGACTTTTCTGCTGTTACCAGTGAATGTCACACTTCTGAGAAGGCGGCTGAAAGTGTCAGAGCTCTCTCGCATGAAGTACAGGAAGAAGAAATGTGCTAAGCTTCCCAAGATGTACCAGCTAGTTCACTGAAGATTCATGGTTTAGTAGCAGTATAATGCATTCGCTGAAAGCCCTTGAAACTATTTTGTTGGCTGGTATATTTAGAAAGTGTTATCATGAGGTTTGCATGATATGCCTCCTAGCTATATGCATCAAATATATATGCATCAAATAACTCCTTTCAGGCTTTAATATTTCACAAATCTCATGTGTTTGCACACTCTTTATTTATGTGTTCTCCTGGAACAAATGACCAGAAGATCTGAGTATTTCACAAACACTCAGGCACAAACACCCTCATCACACCTCTCCAAGAAATGTTGCTAGGTATTTTTGTGTGCCTTTCAGAGCAGACATTGAGGTAGTATCAGTTGTCAGTTTATGGAATTCAAGAGTACAAATCACAACTGGAAATAGTATTAGGTCCACTATGGATCATTTTGGCAATAGTAGTTACCATGAAAAGCTTGATCAAAATGCAGATATGTAATACATTTTCTCTTTCAAGCATTTTTTTTAAATCCTAGAGACCAACTTTCTAACAGGAGTTCTAGCCACTAAATTTTGCTTGTTAATATTGCTGCAAACCTTCCTCTTCTTCTGCCCTGCCCTGCTCAAGCTAACTTGCCCAGATGCATTCTTTATAAACCTGAGTTACTAATCACTCGACTTTTTCTTACCCATCAGAGTTTGTGTGAAGGTGAGGTGACTTTCCACCACCACCAGTACACCAGTACCTACCAAGTGCTGCAGTGCTCTAGGCTGACAGCTTTCAAAGCCTCCAAAGGCTTTGAATTCGGCTCCTCCATTATCGGATAGAACACGGGCCACCTTGCTCCGTGGGCTGGAGTGCTGGGTGAGTTTGGCTCAGACGTACCTTGCAGGCAGGCGTGCGGTCTGGCTCTGAGGATACCGAGAGATGGCACTTTGCTCCAGTGGCTAATCGCTTGCGGTGATAAAAACTCCCCCTCGCTGTGTTAAGCTGTTCACATTAGCTGTTCAGGCTTTTTCTGTGTTTTCCTTCCTGATGAAGACAATTTAAAAGGCAAGGCAGCTTGTCTTTCAGCAATTTTTAAATAATTAATTCCTCTACTCCTTTTCATTTATTAATAGACCTATTTCTGATACCTCTGCTGCCTCTTCCTTACACAAATGAGAATCCCTTTAATTTTCCCTTGTAGCATTGCCAGCTGGAAAAATTATTTTTTCCTCTTTTCCACCATCTTAGTATTTTGCCTGGGAGCCTCATGTGACAGAAATGTTTTGGCTTATCTGTTCCACATAGTCATTTTTTTTAAATCTCAGATCTTTAACCATCTACTTGTGCAACTACACCAGTTCCATTCTTTCTTAAATTCTTTTCTAAAAGGAAAATGGAGTCTGTCTATAGGTCTGTAGATTTCTGAGAACAGAAAGAACCACTTTAATGATCTTATTTAACCTCTTGCATATTGCCAGTTGCAGAACCTCATTCAGTAGCTGATCAAGTCGGTAATCTATTGTGTATTATGTAATATCTTTCTCAATTCCCCTGCATTGCTTTTCTCTGTTGGATTTTAAGGCTTCCTATCACTGCACATTACTGTTTGACTTCTAGAATTCCTATATATTTGCTTATTGAAATCTAATACCAGAGGCAATACTTCTGTGAATCCGTGCTCACTTTCCCAATGACAAATTTTAGTATCATATACTGCTGCATGAAACAAATTGGCATTTCCAAACCAATGTGATATTGCTGTGCTCTTAATGTTGAAAGGTTATTACACTACTAGTAGCTAAAATAATTTCTATTGCTTTAAAAGCACACAGCTGAGAGGCAGTACCTATGTGCCTACTGCTGAATCTTGAGCAAGCAGAGTTTTGTTGTTCCTTCCTTTGAAGCCACCACTATGTCTTAGGTAGCCCAGCTCGGTATATGAACTGCTGCCCTCTGAGATAGGTTCTACTTGTTCTGGTCAAGCTCTGCAAAGTGCACTCTGCAAAAGAAACACTGACATATTAGTACCCTGGCCACTACCTTACCTCATTGATAGTCAACCCAGATACCAGTCCCTTTCAAGTACATTTTTTCAGTGTCAGAACCCAAACTGACAGCTCTTAAGGAATTTACAAAGGAATACTGAATGGAAATGTTGGAGCTGTCCATTGACATCCTAATTAGCAACTCACTTGTGATGGATCATGAAGATGGTTTGTTGTGTCTTGAAACATGAACTTTCAGGATCTCAGTAAGATCACAGTCCTAGAATCATAGAATGATAGAATGGTTTGGGTTGGAAGGGACCTTAAAGCCCCCCCAGTGCCCCCCCCTGCCCCGGGCAGGGCCCCCTTCCCCCAGCCCAGGGGGCTCCCAGCCCCGTCCAACCTGGCCTTGAACCCTTCCAGGGAGGGGGCAGCCACAGCTGCTCTGGGCACCCTGGGCCAGCGCCTCGCCCCCCACACCATAAATTTCTTCCTTAGATCTCATCTAAACTGACCCTCTGGCAGTTTGAAACCATCTTCCCTCGTCCTACCCCCACCCCCCCTGACCCAGAGTCCCTCCCCACCTTTCCCGTCCCCCCTCTAAGCCCTGGGAGGCCGCTCGAAGGGCTCCCCGGACCCTTCTCTCCTCCAGGCTGAACCCCCCAACTCTCTCAGCCCGGCCCCCCAGGGGAGCTGCTCCAGCCCCCCCAGCATCTCCGTGGCCTCCTCTGGCCCCGCTCGAGCAGCTCCGTGTCCTTCTGCTGTTGGGGGCCCCCGAGCTGGCCCCAGCACTGCAGGGGGGTCTCCCCAGAGCGGAGCAGAGGGTTACGCTGTCCGTGTCACCAACAAAGATGTTAAACAGCGCCGGTCCCAACACTGACCCCTGAGGAATGTCCCTCATCCCTGCTCTCCATTTGGACACTGAGCCATTGACCACAACTCCTTGAGTGTAACCACCCAGCCAATTCCTTATCCACTGAGTGCTCCTTCCACCAAATCCATGTCTCGGCAATTCAGAGAGAAGGATGTCCTGTGGGACAGCGTCAGATGCTTTGCACAAGTCCAGGTGGGTGACGTCAGTTGCTCTTCCCTTATCCACCAACACTGTAACCCCGTCACAGAAGGCCACCAAATCTGTCAGGCACTATATGCCCTTAGTGAAGCCTTGCTGGCTGTCATCAATCACCTCCTTATTTTCCATGTGCCCTAGCAGAGTTTCCAGGAAGATCTGCTCCATGATCTTGCTGGGCACAGAGGTGAGACTGACTGGCCTGTAGCTGCCCAGGTCTTCCTTTTTTCCTTTTTTTAAAATAGGGGATGTTTTTTCCTTTTCCCATCAGTGGAAACTTCACCAGACTGCCACAACTTCTCAAATATGATGGTTAGTGCCTCAGCCACTTCACCCACCAGTTCCCTCAGGACCCGCAAATGCATCTCATCAGGTCCCACGGACTTGTGCACCTTCAGGTTCCTTAGATGGTCTCAAACCTGATCTTCTCCTACAGTGGGTGGTTCTTCATTCTCCCAGTCCCCACCTTTGCCTTCTGCATCTTGGGCAGTGTGGCTGGAGATAACTTTATTTTTAATGAGGAGATCATAGAATACATTCCATTCTGGTATTCATCAAGCTAAATCACAATCTAAATTGACTGTGGTCTTTCCAGTGACCCTTTGGTCTTTCCAGTGTCCTGGTGACTTTGCAGTACTTCATTAGTTGTACTTTTAGATATGTTCTGGGCAAGTTTGGCCTAACTCAAGATGTCTTCATCTTCTCAGAGGGTCAGGTGGCTCATGAGGAATAGGTATCATTTCCTTGTTCTGAGAACATGAGCCTAGTATGCCAAATAAGAAACACGTGAATTCAGTGAGTTGATCATAGAATTTCTGGGGCTTAATGATCTTAATTCATTGGTTTTGCCAATGATTTAAATTCAGTTAACCTCAAACCATCACTTAAATATTTAATATCTTCAGGACCTTTTTCTGAAGACAATACAGATAAGAGAAAAATGTTTTCATTTGGGGAAGTAGAATAGCTGGGATTCTTCTGTTGGGCTGTTACATTGCAGTGGTAAGAGAGTACCTGAGCCTTTGGTTACAAGTTGCAGCATCCATAGGTTCCACCTCAAGTTAAATGGACTACTTCTTATCTGCAGATGCCCATGTAGCTTTATTCAGAGCTTTTGCATTTTTGATGCTCTGTTTTCACAGTGCTGAGAATTTGTGGTGAAATATGTAAGTATAACTGAGACATTTGTCCTTGAGAAAGCTATTTCTGCTGTCCCTATGCGTTCTTTGGACATTAAAAATTGAAGTTTCTAACAGATTTTTTTTAAAAGTTGTATTATGCAGTTTAAGCAAGAAAATGACACAAATAAAATTCTCTGTTGTGTGCTTAGCTGAATTATTTTCTCTCATCCAAATACAAAAATTAGACTACTATCTGAGGTTAGGAGTACCTTTACCTTTATGGCTGTGCTTAATTCTCATAACTGGAAAGAGGCTGGTAGGTCATCATAATGTGTATGTTCTTTATGATATTTTTTATATAAGTATATATAATTGAGTGCTAGTTATTTTCTTTTCTATCAGTAGACCATTTCTTTGAACAGTGGTACCCAAAGATAGTGTGGTCTCTCTTTGAAGAAAAAAAATCAGACACATACACAGCAATAAATATTTCAGTTTCAGAATCTTCTAAGGAAACATCAGAGAGAAAGAAAATAAGTTCCCAGAGGTACTTCTCTCCTCTCATACGTTAGCAGCCTGACGATATTACACTGCTGGGCCTTGTCATTCATTCATGGTGCTTTTGCAATCTTGGTTTCTATTTCTGGAATGTATTTCTAACAGTACAAATTCCAAAGCAGAAAAGTCTGCCATATACGATTTCATCAGGGCTGATAGATGAGGCACGTGCTGGTTACATCGAGATTGTACTCTCAGGAAAAAAATTCAGTGTTACCAATTTGAACCAGATAATTTTCTTTGTGTGGTAGTTTTGCTAGGATCATGGCAATACATACTGCCAGCAAAGTACTTTCAGATAGGCTATTCATAGTGATATCCTCTATTTTTTGTTAATTAGAGAATGTCACAAGAATGAGATTCTTAAAATACAATGTGTTTCAGGACCATCTGTCCAACAGCTTTTGAATATCAGCAGCAAGAGTTGTGTGCTGGAATAGATGATTAAAAGCAACCAGAGCAAAACCAGTTCTTTTTAACTTGCATGTTTTATTGTGTTGGCTATTACCATATGTTAAGAAAGCAAAAGAAAACTGGGTGAATCTTATCCCTGTTCTTGATATAGCTGTGTTCTGGAAAAATTGCTGATGTTGGTGTGGAATGTGTGTCATTTTCAGATTCATCCAAAATATCAGCCTGGAGGAATTTACATGGTGTTCCACAACCTGCCAGAATAATTGGGTTTTTAATCAGAAGAGAATTACAAGACTGTGAAAATTACTGTTTTCAAAACCTACCTTAAAAAAAAAAATGTTTAAATTGAAAGTTTAGGTATATATTTAAGAAGTTTTGGAAACTATCTTGACTTTGTATCTCTTCAATACAGCAAGAGAAAGTAGGCAGAATACAGTTCAGTGCTTATAGCCCTATGCGAAATAAAGTTTTAAACAGAGGAAGAGAATCTCCGTGCAAAGAGTGGTGGAAAATAAATTAGCTACTGAAGTCACTAATGGGAACAAGTGCTTATATTTTCCAAAGAAAGCTTAGAAATGTGTCTGGAAAAAGAGAAGACCAGAGGCTTTAGTTTGTAGCTGTTGAGCCAAAATTAATGATATACCAGTAGATTGGTTTGCATTTCATTGGCTTCACAGGGACAAACTGTAATGGAGTTTGTGTCTTTCTTCAGAATATTATGAGTAAATTTTGAAATAAGTGCCTGGGGGGTTTTTTGTTTGCACGACTCATTTTACGCTCCCTGGGAGTTCCACAACTAGAACACCCTGCTTAAAATCTGGATGTTATATGCAAGAGTTTTTCTAAATTACTACAGGTAAAGTTAACCTGTGTAAGGAAGGAAACATTTTAAAGTGGAGAAAATGTAAAATTACTTCTCATGTAGAAGAAAGTGGCCTAAAGGCTAAGGTTCATAGAAAGATAAAATTGATACCTAGGAGAAGGAACAAATGTTGGGGTACTGAATACCATGTCTCTGTGATTAAATGAATGGATCTCTTTTTTCAGAGTAGTCGTGCCACTGGACTCAGGCTGATCAAGTGCTTAGCTTCTTAGAAAAACCGGCAGATCACTTAGATTAAATTGCATAAATGTTGATGTAGAAGCCAGATCACTCTGCAAAATCAGGTTGTAAAATTTGCAATTTCATTATATAATCATTTGTAAAATCTAAACCACAAGATCATTATGGTTTGGCTTTATATTACCTCACAAGAAACATAGTGAGTTTTTTCATATTCCTGCCATATTATTTAAATTCTTTACCAGTTTCCCATATGCTTTTCCTAATGTCCCAGAGAGCTACCTGGAGTATGAAAAATAATCAGGTTATTTACCTTCTTTCAGATTTCCAGGCTTTTGGTCTGAAGAAAGGAATGTTCTTCAATCCAGACCCTTATCTGAAGATTTCCATCCAGCCTGGAAAACACAGCATCTTCCCAGCACTTCCCCATCATGGACAGGAGAAGAGATCTAAGATCATGTGTAACACTGTTAACCCAATCTGGCAAGGAGAGGTAAGCAGCTCAAGTGTTGAGCTGAGACTTTTCCTAAAACGTGGAAATGACTAGCAGTATCACTCTTCTTTTTTCTTTTTTTTTTTTTTTTTTTTTTTCTTCCCCATTCCTTTCTTGACTAAATAGTTGTCAACCTAGCTGTGCTTGATGTATTTCATGACTTCTTTTCTTAATGCAAAAGGCTTAATTAGCTACGAAGATGAATGATACATTCAAACTTTCAGTATGGCTTGTACTTTGTGGATGTAATTTATGAAGTTGTTGAAAGCAAGCATAAAACAGAATTGAAAAATAAACTTGGATAGTGTGAAAGGCTGCTGCTAGATTACCATGGTGCTCATACACAGAGAGGAGACATTATATAAAGCAGAACAAGTATAGCATGCAAATAAAAAGAATCTATGTGATTGAAAAGTGTCAGTGGCAATATAAATTAAAGGCAACTTTGGCACATTTGCCCATCACCTTGAAGAAACACTCTCTAGTCTGCTGCTTCTTGTTGGAAGGGCTTAGTAGGTATTAATGAGATCTGGGAGTTCAATTGCTGCCTGCTGTTTTTAAATTACACGCGAAATGGCAACAGGCAGCAAAGAATAAGGAATCTCTTCGGAATTAAAGGAGCCTGACATAATGGGTGTGATTTACTGGAGTTTTCTGTCAGACCAGAATCTCCACTGCAGGAAAGAGTAAAAGTAAATAAATAGACTAAATAGATTTATTCAAATTAAAATACAAATTCTAAAGTAGTTTAGGGATAATTAGGTCAAACTGTATAGACATGGAAGTGTGAGTGAGGAAAGAAAACAGCAGAAATGGCACTGAATACTCCTACCTGGAGGAGGATGGTCAGGAAACTATGTACCACATCAGGTTATGCAGCGGGTGAGCCTACGTGGGGGAGGTTATATGGCAGGGGCAGGGGAGACAACCTTGAAACTAGTCTGAGAAAAACACCTTCTAACAGGACTTAATTAAGTGGAAGGCCCTGTCGTGAGGCATCCACCAAGCCGTCGGTTCTCGGTGGCTCCAAGCATCAGATGTATCTGACTGAGGGGTCCCAGGTCAAGCTGAGGAGCTGGAACTGACATGGAGGATCAGGGAGTCAGCAGAGATCTTTCAGTAAAGTGCATCTGACACAGGCCTAGAGGAGGGTAGGCATGAAGGGGAAGCTTGCTGTATGTGTGTCACACTCAGGACGTGCGACTGGGGGAGCTGGCAGCAAGGCTGGGTGCCGGGAGTTGACTCTCAAAGGGGGACACAGGGTATGAATGTGGCCATAACTGCTGAGGTGGCACACAGGCTGTCCTTATCCAAAGAGGGATGTAGCAGCTGTACTGATGGAGGCTGAAAACAGGCTTTTTGGAAGCACTCAATACTGGTCAGAAGTATCCTCTCCACAAAACAACCCCCAGCCAGTATAATTTGTTCTCACTTCAAGGTCCTTTTGCACTGCTGGAGGATAAAATAACCAAAAAGGAACAATGTGGCCCTGATAAAATGTCAAAGGTGTCTTCTCCTCGGGTCATGCAGAATGGCTGAATTTGTGGGCTGACATTTCTTTTCCAGTGGAGTTTGGCAGTGAGAAAAGGAGAAACAATGAAATGGCCCAATTATGGACATCAGAAAACAAAAGAGCACAGCTGGCTTCCAGCTTCTCTGTTCGGCCCCCTGGTTCTCTTGATTCCATGCGAGCACGCTGCTTCTCCCTTTCTGTTGTTAGTCTGTTAGTAGCTAAGGAGTCTAAAACAGCCGAACTGTCATTTAACACGTTCTCTTTCTGCATTCTCTTCAGCAGATATTGAGATGTTTAGCTGCATGCATTCGTGTCGCAGTCTATGCACATCAGATAGTCTGAAGTCTTTGTTAACAAAAACCCACAGTGGTTTTTATTGCACAGAAGACCCTAGGCCTGATTTTCTTCAACCTTGTCCCTTTATGGTACAGGGGAGAAGGAAGACTGCAAACTCTTGCTGAATCATGGTGGTAGCCATTCTTCTGTCCACCATTTTCACTGATGGATGTGAAATATATGAAGTAAAATATATTGAGGAATCGTAACCCTTTTATTAAATGGATCAGTCGCTAGTTGTTTTCCCCCAAAAATATTTTAGGCAATATATTATTTCAGAAGGGTGATTCTTCCCTAAGCTTCTCTGTCACTGCATGTAAATAGAACCCAGATGTTCGTTTCCCCAGCTCCCCCTCCCCAGCTGAATGACATATCTAATTTGTTTTGGATGCTAAACTTGAAAAATATTTGGAATAGGGAAATAAAGCTATAGAAATAGCTGCAGACTGGGATCTTTAATAAGCTCTTGATTACCCTTGAGAAAATTCAGAAGTTAAAGAATTGATTCAGTTTTGTAGGGCCTTGACACCAAAATGAAGTTCTGCAGACTGAGATGACTCGTTTACTTACATTGTCATGCAGGTATTCCCCCTCATATACTTAGCAGGTTGTTCTATTTGCACAGTAGCCACCTGGATTATAGGAACACTTTGGGAGCACTGTGATATCTCACGCAATTTTTCATCCATCTCATGTAACATTGATGATCGTCTTCATTTCACAGACCGTTCAAACACTATTCAGCACAAGTTATCCTGACTTAAAAGCTATAATTTCATTGCTCTGTATTGCAATACTTTGTACAAGAAGACATGAGGAAATGGAAATTCCTTACTAATTGAGGAGTACCATGTGACATTTTAACACTTGCAGCAGGGCTCTGCGTGAGGTGAAAGAGCCCTCACACTGAGAATTGTTCACTGAGACAGGTTAAAGCCCAGGTGGTATCTTCTGATAGAGAGAAGCATCGTTTTGTAATGTTTCTGTTTTCACATGCTCACAGAAGTATAAGATCAGATTCTGTTAAGCCAAAGTGCTGAATACTGCCATGTGTAATGATGACAAGTGATAAGTACTTTGGGGGAGATCCACACTAACTAGTGATGGTGCCTAGGCCTCTACAGGGTCAGTGAGGAGAAGCAGACAGCTGCAGAAAATAAAAATAATATCACGTGTCTTCAGACAGAGCACTTGTTGCTGAATCAGGGTTAATGGTCCTGCTTGTTTTCTCACTCCTGGCTCTACTTTCAAACTGGTGCATTCTTCAGCAACATCTGTGCTGTCAAATGAAATAAGCGAGTTGCTGGAAACCACAGGGCACCTCTAAACTCCTAGGTTAAGCAGACATTACTCTGGCAGTCCGCACAGTTGCAGGAGTGTAGTGGGGGAGTTGTCCTATCTGGTTTGCGGTAAAATGCAAAGGAAATTTCAGAAGGAAGTGCCTACTTCCCAAATCTTCTGTACATCTGGGAGAACTGAGACGGATGAATGTTGATTGTATCTCTTCTAATACTGATATTAGAAAAATAACGACACTATTCCCGTATTGTTTCATATGGAGACAACGTGTCTGTTGTCACATTCTTTGGAAAAACCTTCTTTAAGATTTAATTTGTCAGCAAGCAGTAAAGTGGCAGATAGTTCAGACAAGCAATTGAGATCATTGGGGATCATAAGCAACAAAGCAAAGTGGTTTAAAAAGTAGTTCACCTCTCAGTGGTTTTGCAAATAAAATACTTCAGGCCTCTGGACTTTCCCTTAGACATTTATGGTATTTCTTAACTGTGGCAGTTTGAGCTGACTGCTTCTTCAGGTTTTGTTTATTTACTATTGAGTAGATAGAGAGCCTCAAGGAATGGGCAGTGAGATGACTATAAAAATTGTTGCAACCCTCCAGCATATTTAAAGTAGTAGGAAGTGTCATCTGTTAAATGACGCACTGAATTTCAACTCCAACAATTTTAGCTCTGGAAGGGGAGATTGCCTTGAAGTGGGAGCCCAGTCCTAGGATAAAAACAATCTCAGCCCCCTGCATCTTCACTGTTTGTTTCTTTGCCTCAGCCTTTACAAATACTCTTAAGTTATAGCTGAAGCACAAACAAGTGTTTTGGGTGGCTGCGTTATCACTCTGAAGACAGCTGCATTTCACTGCTGAATTAATTGATGTGTATAAGCAGAGGTGTTCAGTACTCTGTTGCAAGGGCACTTAACAAATAGTAGTTAATGTGTCAGATCTGATAAACAGAATTACAGTATTTTCACGTGTGCAACTTGTACTCTCTGCACCTCAGATAACCCACGACCTTTCAGAAATACTGCACTTGAATAAATTCTCACGTAACCTGTCTCTTCAGATTACCAACACAAAACCAGAAGGAGAAAACAGTCAGGGGCTCGAATGCCAGAGGGAGGTGGTTTGGGGAGAGGGGGCTTCTGTAGTGCAGGCCCTCAGCAGCCATGGAAGCATTGGGTTTGGATGCTGCCTGCGAGAATGCCAGGATGGCGTGAATACAACTGACTGTGCGAGTGCTGGGTTGTAGCTGCTTTTCTTGTGATGCAGATTAATAACTCGGGTTCTGATTCTGTGATCCTGAATGCTGGACTGGTGCAGGGTGGACCAGCCAGAAGTACTAGGACTGAAAGACGCTTTGTCAAAGGAGCCAGATCACGCAATATGGGGTTTATGTTAGTTTTCTGCTTCACTTGAGGCTTTATGTTAGCTGATGTGATGGGTGCTACCTGATGTAGCACAAATCTAGGGTGATGCAAGCAGGGGATACTTGATCAAAGGTGAATCTTTCCAGAACAAAGTGAAACCATGAAAGGTGCTTTAATATATTTGAATCAACAGTATGAATTTACACTAAAGCAGGCTATATTTGATCTGATTTTGATCTAATATTCTGAGCACCAGATGCTAACAGTCCTACTGTGGCCTCACAGAATCCTTGCATGACTTCACCAGAAGACCAAAATGAAAAGAGCAACAGGAACATTACACTGATTGAACTACTTATTTATTGTTTGACATGGATAACCTTCTCTCCTCCTTCTACTGGCAAATACAAAAGAATCTGCTGCAGGTGCAGAAACTTGGAGGCCTTTACACCTAAGCATAAATCCAGTATAGGTGCAGTGAAATCCAGATCCT